ATTTTTCATAGTGATTTTCAGAGAAAAGTATATGGGGAACTCCTTACAGAAAACTGGTTCAAGGGAGAGGACATTTGTTTCATTCTGTGGTGATGGTATAATTTATGTCTCAGAATTTGAGAACACTTGAACACATATTTCTGTAATAGTTATTCCTCAAAGTGTATTTAAAATACAATTTTATGTATATATAAAATTCTTACAAGAGTAACTGTATATATATATGCATACTTTCGAAATGTCATATACATAAGCTAGCTCAGAGATTGCTAATCTTTTATCCAATTTAGATTTACCCCATAAAACTCAACCTGAAAATCCTGCTTTCAAAAACAGATATAAATGTGAGTTTTTAAAAAATCAATAATTGAGTAGAAGAAATGACCATTTCACCTCATAGAGTGTATTTTATTTTATTGCTTTTAAAGATTTATTATTTATTTGAAAGTCAGAGTTACACAGAGAGAGGAGAGGCAGAGAGAGAGAGAGAGATCTCCCATCTGCTGGTTCACTCCCCAATTGGCCCCAATGATTAGCGCTGCACCGATCTGAAGCCAGGAGCCAGAAGCTTCTTCCGAGTCTCCCACACAGGTGCAGGGGCTGAAGGACTTGGCCATCTTCCACTGCTTTCCCAGGCCATAGCAGAGAGCTGGATTGGAAGTGGAGCAGCTGGATCACAAACTGGTGCCCATATTGGATGCCGGCACTACAGGTGGCGACTTAACCTGCTGTGCCACAGAGCCGGCCCCATAGAGTATATTTTAAAGTAATCACAGATGATTAAAACTACAGTAGTATACAATTCTTAACCATTGATCTGACAATATTGATACATACAAACCTTTCTCTTTTTTGTGGTGTGTGTATGTGTGTGTTTAAAATTTAGCTCCCACATATAAGGAGAACATGTGATATTTGTCTTTCTGACTTCAACACCCCACTGGCATCAATATATAAATTATTCTCATCAACAGATGGAATATTTTCTAGTATAAACCAGATACTAGCTCACAAATCAAGTCTAAGCAAATTTTAAAAGGTTGAAATTGGTGCCTGCACTATTTCATAGTGGATAAAGCTGCCACCTGCAGTGCTGGCATCCCATTGAGCATTGGTTCTAGTCCCGGCTGCTCCACTTCCTATCCAGCCTGCTAATGTGTCTGGGAAAGCAGCAGAAGATGGTCCAGGAGTTTAGGCCCTGCCACCCATGTGGGAGAACCGGAAGAAGCTCCTGGCTCCTTGCTTTGGATCAGCCTAGCTCCCACAATTGCAGCCTTTTGGGGAGTAAACTGTGGATAGAAGATCTATCTGTCTGTCTGTCTCTCTCTCTCTCTCTAACTCTCTCTCTCTCTCTCTGTAACTCTTACTTTCAAACAAATTAATAGATCTTTAAAAAGGTTGAAATCACAGTATGTATCTTCTCAGACTATAAAGGAATAAAAGTGGAAATCAATAACAAGAACAATAGAAAACTCATAAAAACTTGGAAATTAAACAACATGCTACTTAATGATCAATAGGTCATTGAAGAAATTAGAAATGAAATTAAAAACTTTCATGAAATAAATGAAAATGAATACAAAACACATCAAAGCCTGTGGGAAATAACAAAAGCAGTATTAAGAGGGAGGTTTATAGCATGAAGTGCTTACATTAAAAAAAGAGAAATGTCTTCAAAGAAGACCTAATGATGCATCTTAAAGACTTAGAAAAACAAGAACAAACCAAACTCAGAATCAATAGTAGGTGAGAAATAATAAGGAGTGGAGCAGAAATAAAGGCAATTGAAACTAAAAAAAAATCAATGAAACAAAAAGTTGTTTTTTTGAGAAGATAAACAGATAAACCTCCAGCCAAACTAACAAAGAAAAAAAAAGAGCCAAGAGTCAAATAAATAAAAATTGGATATGAAAAAGGAGACATTATAACTGACACTGGTGAAACACAAATGATAATAAGAAACTACTATAAAGAACTATGTACTGATAAACTGGAAAATCTCAAAGGAATGGATAAATTCATGGACTCATGTAACCTACCAAGATTAAATCAAGAAGATATAGACAACCCAAGCAGATTCACAACAAGCAATGAGATTGAAGCACTAATCAAAAGTCTTCCATCAAGGAAAAGTCCAGGCCCTGATCGCTTTACTACTGAATTTACTTTATTTACTACTGAATTCTACAAAGCATTCCAAGAGGAAATAACTCCAATATTCTTCATACCATCCAAAAATATTTTACAGGATGGAATTCGGCCAAACTCTTTTTATGAGGTCAACATTACTTTGATACCAAAAGAAAACAAATACACGACATGGATCATGGATTCCAACTCATGCAATGAACACAGTTTATAAAACTGTGGTTTTGGATGGATGTTTAAGGTAACACTAGATTTCCTTGGATTTATAAGGGAAAAAATAGAAAATACATGTTTATTTCATTTCAGCATTATATTGAAATGAAAAAAATATTTGAATGACTTTTTGTCCAATAAGTTAAAAGACTGGATTTGATAGTTCTCAAATCTTATGACTTATCTATCACCAGTATAGTTCTAGGACTTGGGAAATTCATTTTATTTATTGAAACTGTTTCCTTATTTTATAAAATGAAGTCTCAGCATGTAATCTTAGAGAATGATATGAGTATGTAACATTAATATGAAGTTTCAGTTTTCTCAGTAACATGTAGGTTTTCTTCAAAATCTTTCATAATGCAAAAATAATGATATTTTCTCAGGATATTGCAAATTAGGGACATTTAAGACCATTTAAAGAAAATATATGTAACTAGGAAAAAATGATGTCTTTTGTAGGACCACACAACTCTATAAAAGGAATACATTTAGAGCTATATGGGACAAAATTCAAATCTTAAAATTTTCAGTTTTGCTCTTGCAAGGTAATGAAGTCAAATATAACAGAACCATTTGTTCAGGATGGGCTCTGGAATCCAAAGACTTGTCATCAGATCCAGGTTGTGTTCTTATAAATTCTTTGGCCATGAGAATATTTATTTAGTTCTTGGTACTTAACCTTTAATCTGGTATAAAATGTGCATTATGAGAATGGAATGATTTACTGTATATACCGTGCTTAATGGGGTGCTTATTTGCTACTATCTCTGCTTTATTTCTCAATGCTAAACTACTAGCACACTATTCCAAAAGAACAGATATTTGTCATTCAAAAGAAATATTGAGCCCTACTATAGATTCTCAGACAAATCAGTTAAGATTCTTTTTTATAGATGGTGTTTCTGAAGCGATTTCAAAAGTATAAAACCTATATTAGAGAACCCATTGTGCTGGTATTTGGGGACAAGAGATAATAGATTGAGTTTTATTAGGGAATACGTCTTAAAATGCAGTTTTTAGTTTTCAGATATGAAAAGACCAGGTCATTGAAACTCTGGGCCTAAAAAAACTGAAATATATTCTCAGTGTCACTTGAGGGAGAGAAAATGTCACGAACCTGGTAACAGACTGGGCCAAGGAGAGAGCTTTCCAGGAGAAACCTTGCATGGCAAAGGAACGCCAGGACCCCTCAGTGTCAGTAGTGGTGATGTTCAGTTTAACATTACATTATGACCTGTCCTCTATTATCTAATGCCTTTTTTAAGGGAGATTTGTTTATTTATTTTGAAAGGTGGAGTTACAGAGAGGCAGAGAGAGAGAGGTCTTCTATCTGCTGGTTCACTCCCCAAATCACTGCAATGACCAGAGCCAGGCTGATCCAAAGCCAGGAGCCTGGAGCTTCTTCCAGGTCTCCCAAGCAGGTGCAGGTTCCCAAGGACTTGGGCCGTCTTATACTGCTTTCCCAGGTCACAACAGAGAACTGGAAAGGAAATGGAGCAGCTGAGACTCTAACTAGCTTTACCTGCTACCCCACAGCACCAGCCCCTGTCTAACATCTTTACCATGTGGGAAAAGACTGCTAGACACAACAGACTTGTTAGTTGATGGTTGAGGACAAAAAGACAGACTATGCCATCAAATCCCATGTCCTTCATTCTATTCTTAAGAGGGTAATGGAAGTACACATAAGCATGCTGTGAGGGTGAAGTTGCCATTACCCCAACAGTTGAGCTTTGAACCAGAGGAAACAATACAGAACAAGAATTGGTAGATAGCGTTAGAAATATAAACCTTCCTACCACTCTCCTCAGTCAGCACATTCAAACTGAAACCTAGAGAAATATCCAGGGGATTTGAAGACTTGGGTATTTTAATTTATGAATAAAGAATAATTTTAACTATGTACCTGAAGGACATATAAGTTCTTATGGGAAAAATGCAAAAATCTCTAACAAGTGTAATGTCTTCAGTGAAACAAACTACTTCTAATACCGTATTTTAATAACATCTGAAGTGGGTGTTGTGATGCAGTGGGCTAAGCCACCATTGGAGATGCCTGAATCTCAGAGCAGAGTGCCTGGGATAGGGGATGGCGTTTCACCTGTACTTCAGCTGCAGCTGCCTGCCATTGTGCACCCTGGGAAGCGTCAGGTGATGACTCAAGAATCTGAATGCCTGCCATCCACGTAGGAGACCCTGACGGAGTTCTGGCTCTTGGCTTCTACCTGGCCCACCCCTGGCTTTGTGGGTACTTGGGAAGTGAACCAGTGGATACAAGATATTGTGGACTCCCTTTCTCTCTCTCTCTCTTTGTATCTCTCCCCTCTCTTCTTCTTTACCTTTCAAATATTCAAATAAATAAACCAGTAAAAGAAAAAGGAAACAGAAAAGCATATATTCTTTGAGATAAAGCTCCATGAAAGCTAGTGTTCTGTTTTATTTACTACTGTGACTGTGGTACTAGAACATTGCCTATACAAAGTAGATAACTCAACAAATATCTGTAAATAAGTGAGTGAATGAATTCTTTTTAATCTTCACAAGTAAACGATTTGTAGTTTGTTAGAATATTTTTGATAATGTAATAGAAATTTATATTGTAGTGCTTAACTGCCTTTTTTTTTTTTTTTTGACAGGCAGAGTGGATAGTGAGAGAGAGAGACAGAGAGAAAGGTCTTTCTTTTTGCCGTTGGTTAACACTGCAATGGCTGCCGCGGCCGGCGTATCGCGCTGATCCGAAGCCAGGAGCCAGGTGCTTCTCCAGGTCTCTCATGGGGGTGCAAGGCCCAAGGACCTGGGCCATCCTCCACTGCACTCCCAGGTCACAGCAGAGAGCTGGCCTGGAAGAGGGGCAACCGAGACAGAATCCGACACCGCGACTGGAGCTAGAACTCGGTGTGCCGGCGCCACAGGCAGAGTATTAGCCTATTGAGTCACGACGCCGGCCAACTGCTTTCAGATGTCGAATTTTGCAAATACTTTTCAATATATGTCAGCCTATATTTAGGATGTGCAGAATTATCTCTTTGCAAATGTCGTTACCTTTAAATCTATGTGTAATTAAATCACACTAAAAATTGAGAGTATAATTGTTAAAGAATATGAGCAAGAATGTATACAAGTGATTCCTAAGTGAAGAATATTTTGTGAAGGAAATAATTCAATTTCACTTTTTTGTGTTTGCCTGAACATTTGAATGTTATTTTAGGCTCCACAATGAGTATTTGCACTGTTTCTTTTTCTCCTGGGAGACATGTTTCTTCCATAGTTGACTGAGCAGAAATTTAAAAGCTTTATCAGAAAGCAACTACAAAAAATGAATTCTTTTTGGGAAACGAGGCTGCATTTCCTCTTTGAAGCCCAGCCAGGTTTAGTTAATGCTAAGGAGATGGGACAATGCTTCTGCTGCTCACACATACAGCATTTGCCACAAGCTAGGAACTCAGCCTGGCATTTCCAGTTCTATTGCTGTCAGCTGAGAGGTACAGACCCAAGGGAAAGCGGATGGCAGAGTAGCTATTGCTGTCTCTTCCTAGGGCCAGAATTTTGAAGTATAACCAGGAAGAAGTTTTCTTTTCCATTTATATGCACACTCATAATGGGGTTCAAGGAAATGAAGTGCACAAATGCAAATTAAGATTTTGTTTTTAATGTGAAGTTGCTTGATATCAGTTTCTTCTCTTCCGACAGATGGATTCTCTTTGGCAGATGATTATGAAACTGTGCCTTTCATGCCTGTCTACATGAAATGTATTCTATAAACACGTTGAAGCATTGTGTTCTTCTGAGTCTGCAGTGTTTGAGGCTGTATTAGCATCGCGATGACTAGAACTATAGGATTCAAAGTGTCTGTGAGTGGAACCTGGGGAATGACTTGTGTGATTGCTTCGGTTCTGCCATGGGCCTTGACAGATAATAAGGTGGTTCCCTTGAAATTTGACACAGAGCATTTTCATGCCCAAGGAAAAGAAATGAACTCACAGATAATAGGGGGAAATCCCAAGCAACTTCAAATGTGTGTTTTAACAGATATTGGAAAATGAATGCATTTGGAAAGTAATGTTCAGAAAATTTAAGATTCATGACAAAAGCTCACAGGGATTCTTCTGCCTCTCAAGTTTTAATTATCAGGGTCACACTTCCTCTTGACTTAATAGCTTTTCAATGATTACCTTAATACTTTGAATACAAAGAGATTTCACCCCTAAAATTTCTGTGATTAAGATAAGAGCTAACTCAGTTGTACTTTCACAACCCAAGCTTTAGCAGAAAATTACCATGGGCACATGCACACAGATCTGTATTTCAAGATAGAAAATCAGATTGCTTCAACTGATCCAGAGGTAATTCATGTGAGCTAACCAGAAAATTGGCCCACAAGCCTCTGGTATTCTTGACTTCTATTACTACGTAATTACATCCTCTTTAATAGTAAAGCTAGAAGAACAGGATTAGTAATTAATTTATTCAATAAATATGCACTAGGCCATGCATACTGAAGATTGCTCCAAGTGAAAGAAATATAACAAAAAATCAGGCAAATAATTTTCCATATTTTATAGTACTTGTGTTCAATTCATGGTGGGAGTAGGTACATATATTGTATAAGCACTTAAAGAAATGTTTAAAAATATAATAAGGTAGTTTTGAGAATGTAATGATACCTTGGACTGGGAATTCTTATGATACTGCACTTAAGTGAGTAATAGTTGAACATAAACCATTTCTGGATTGTGTGAAGATAATTCCACGAAGAATGGAGAGGAAACACTATATTGTGAGACTTCTGGGGCACCAATGGTCTATTGCTCTGAAAGAATGCAGAATACGGTGGTTTGCAGAGGTATTTTATTTTGCTCCTGACTTTGTGGATGAGGAACACTGCAAGGGCTCTGTTGTGTGCACATCTGTCCTCTGTGTACTATAAGTGTGAGTGACTCAACTACAGCTGGAGGGGGAATTACTCGCAAATCTGATGGACTGAAACTGGTTAATAACCAGGAGCCTAGCTAGGGGTCTTGGTTTGTAGCCTCAATTCTTTCCAATGTGTTCTCCTTAGTGCATGACAGCTGGCATCCAGCAGTGAATGTTCCAAGAGATGGGAACTAAAAGTTTCCATTCTTGATCCTTTAGTTCTGCCATACTCAATGTAGTCAGAATCCACAGATTCAAAGAAAATCCAGTGAGAGATGTGTAAAAAATGTATGATCACATTCAATCTGTCACAGTCAATCATATGGCCAAAATTTATTTACATCATTCCCGCACAAAAAATACTCTCTTCCAAGGGTCCAGAGGTTTCTTTGCAAACTGGTGTCACTTTCAAGCTCAGAATAGAGGACTTAAAAGTCAAAGTCAGGTTTTGGAGTTGAGGAAACTTTTCTTATAGAATAGAAAGTTGATATTGACTTCTGGCTACGAGCTTAGCCAGGCTAGTCCTCTCTGTTAGGCTGCTCTGGCTTACTTACAAGATGGTGGCTGACTTCCAAAAGTGAATGGTCCATAAAACATGGAAGTGGAACCACCAGTCTCTAAAGGCCTGGAGTTAGAAAAAGACATAGCAGAACTTCAGTATGTTCTATTAGTGAAGACGTTTATGGAGACTACTCACTTGATGGGAAGAGTATCAGTAAATTTGTGTTCAGTTTGCACATCAAGACATTTATGGAGACTACCTGATGGGAGGAGTATCAGTGAATTTGTGGCTCAGTTTGCACGTCAAGTATATTCACAGGAAGATGAATACCTGGGAAGTACACCATACAGTCGTTTGTGTACTTCAAATTTAAAATCAAATCCTTTTAAGAGTTCCAAATGTGGGCCAGCACTGTGGCGCAGTGGGTTAAAGCCCTGGCCTGAAGCGCCGGCATCCCATGTGGGCGCTGGTTTTAGTCCCGGCTGCTCCTCTTCTGATCCAGCTCTCTGCTGTGGCCTGGGAAAGCAGTAGAAGATGGCCCAAGTCCTTGGGCCCCTGCACCTGTGTGGGAGACCTGGAAGAAGCTCCTGACTCCTGGCTTCGGATCAGTGCAGCTCTGGCCATGCAGCCATCTGGGGAGTGAACCAGCAGAAGGAAGACCTCTCTCTCTCTGTTTCTGCCTCTCTCTGTAACTCTGACTTTCAAATAAATAAAATAAATCTTTAAAAAAAAAGAAAAATAATAAGTATTCCAAATGTAGGTAGTATTCTAAATGGTATACTTGAAGACAACTTAAGCAGATATCTATAGACATAAAGTTACTTTAGAGCTAAGTCATTTCAGGGGGTCAGTCAAGCAAATAGGCAGTACAAACACAGAAGAGGAAATGCACTGAATCAACATTGTGAAGAGCAAGAGAGAACAAGGCTTCAGTACCAGGGTTGTCATCGTAGCACAGGGACTTAAACCACTACCTGCAATGCCAGCATCTCATGTGTGCACCAGTCTGAGTGCTGGCTGCTCCACCTCCTGTACAGCTCCTTGCTACTGTGCCCAGGAAAACAGTGGAAAATGGCCTAAGTACTTGGGCCCCTGCCACTCACATGCAAGACCCAGATGAAACGTCTGTCTCCCAGCCCAGCCCTGGCTCTTTGTGACCATCTGGGGAGTGAACCAACAGACGGAGTGTCTCTTTCTCTCTTCGTGTGTGTGTGTGTGTGTGTGTGTGTGTCTCCCTCCTCTCTGTAACTCTGCCTTTTAAATTAAATAAATAAATTTTCTTTAAAAAGAGTTCAGTACTTAGATGAAAGCAGAAATTAGAGGCATCCAACTTAAGAATTCACTGGGAGGTGAGTAAGGAGTAGACCACAGATTGAGCTAAAAATCCATTTAGTGGCCAGGTTTAAGTGCAACGCATTGGAAAGGAACAACAAAGGAGAACAGAAATCATGGAAATCTAGTTCATTTTCCTGAGCAAGGCTGTACCACCAGCTTCCTAATACTACCTACTCATTCTACCATGAATGATTACTTAAGCCTCTTTGAAAAAGTGGGCAGAAAGAAACAATGCATGATTTTCTTCCCATGAACATTAAAAGCAGAATAATTGTGTATTATTTGGAGTGGAACACTTATTCGAATAGTTGATGGAAAAGATAGATTACCAAACTCTAAAATATTTACAAGTACTTTGGGGATCCAATGGGGTAACTGATTTGTTACTTTGAAGGGTATGCTTTATAGTTTTTATGGCATCTCACTCCCTCACACTCCTTTTCATGCACTTAGAAATATAAGATTGGGAAGAAGAAACTCAAGCACTAATCACAGTGAATAGCACAATCTATTTTTGAAAATGGCCATGGCCAGGATGATTATAATTGCCTCTCCTTTGCAAGTGCAAAGAAGGATCAGCATGGCTCTAAGTCCTACTCGTCCTTCAAGACAACCGCTTTTCTTTCCATTTGAAATTTTTCCGTGATGTTTTAAGCTGAGTTACAGCATCGTCTGTGCTCCAATAATCACCTTGTGTTCACTATTATGCTTTCTGAAGCATAACTAAGAATTATGCTTGCTTCCCTCAATATTATAAATTACTAGTAGAGTAACTCTGTCATAGGTATGCTCTATTCAGCATGGCTGTACTAGATAAAAATGGCTGTTGTTTAGATTTAAATATAAGATATTTAAACTTAAATAAAATTAATTTCTTCAATTGCACCAGCCACATCTTTGGTGCATGATAGCCATGTGTGGTTTGTAGCATATGGTTTGGCAGGCATAGCTAAAGAACATATCCATTATCACAATAATTTTATTAGACAGTGCCTCTCAAGATTTTTAAAAACTTTTTTAAGTAAAGGAAAATATCTGTGACTCAACATTATTACAGTAACTTTATTTCTGGTAGAAAATGGGGAAAATAGATATAACACATATATAATTGTGAAAATATCTATAAATATATGTGAAGTATTGAGCTTCAGTTTTCTTGGCATGGCATTGTAAAGAAATGTAAAGAAATATAAACAAAATATAGTCAATATAAATTAACTCACAAAATGTATATTAAAACTTGGAGTGCTAAATAAAGCGTTCCATTCACAGAAATGGTTAATGACTATATGCAGCTGTAAATTCTATTAGAGTCAAAGGTTTTTGGATAGTCTGGCTTAGTTAGTCTCTATGATAAACTCTTGAACTCTTTCATTGGCAATACTATAGATCCATTCATGGTCCACACTATGTGAAATAAGTGGGTAAAAAATAATCTAAGAATCAATAGAGTAATCTTCATACAGAAATCAACAAACAACAATGCTGAAGAGGATATGGAGAAAAGGACACCCTTACCCACTGTTGATGGTAATGTAAACTGGTAAAATCACTGTGGAAAACAGTATGGAGATACCTCAAAAATCTGAATATAGACCTACCATATGACCCAGCCATCCCACTCCTGGGAATTTACCCAAGGCAAATGAAAACATTAAACAAAAGAGCTATTTGCACCTCCATGTTTATTGCAGCTCAATTCACAATAGCTAAAACATGGAAGCAACTTAAATGCCCATCAACCAAATACTGGATAAAGAAATTGTGGGATATGTACACTATGGAATACTACACAGTAATAAAAAAGGATGAAATGCAATCATTTGCAACAAAATGGAGCAAGCTGGAAAAACCACATAACTTAGTGAAATAACCCAGTCCCAAAGAGACAAATACCATATGTTCTCCCTGATTTGGCAGAATTAATAGCACTCCTAAAATGAAAGCTGTAGAGGTGAAATTGACACTTTTAGAATCAATGACTGAATAGTCCTTGACCTGACTGTTGAGGGACAGTTTACCATTGTGACTTTTTATTTTGTATATCCTTTTTGTTTTCTTTCTTTCTTTCTTTTTATTTTCTCTTCTTCATACAGCACGTTGAACTCTTTATGTAACATAGAGTTAATCGTATATATATTAAGTCAATTGGAAAAAGATACCAGTAAAAAAACAGAGGGAAGAAGAGAGGGAGGAGATAGTGTATAACTGTAAAGCAGTATAATTCTGCATACAGTCCTACAGACTTACTTTTTAGGGTACAACCTAAAAACTCGTCATGGCTCTCTAAACACATAAAAACCAGTAGTATAAATGACAACTGTTAAAATGATCGTATTAAACGTTAAAGTCAACATAAAGATAGGTTTAAGTATAAAATTGATCATATAAATAACATCAAATGCCTGGTAATAATAATATAATTAAAAAGGAAGGGAAGTCCAAAATAGGAAGCAGCCTACACAGCAGACTCCTAGAATGACACTCACTGTAAATAACACTCTGACCTCAGAATCAACCCTTAAGGCTTCTTGCTCTGGTTGAAAGACCTGCAAGAGCATTTCAGGTATGGAAAGCCAAGACTCTATGGCAAAAAATATCCAAGTGGAGGATCCCTGTGAGACCTCAGTGGAAAGAAAGGGTCATCAAAGAATGATGTACTCTTCTCTGAAGGGAGGAGAGAACATCCACTTTGCTTATGGCCGTGTCCAAATACCGATGGAGTCTATGGTCACAAAAGGTTTCCATAGCCTTGGCAACCCATGGCAAGAGCCTCAGGTGATCACTGACATCATAAATAAGAGTGTTATTAAATGAACAACAGAAGTCACTGTGCACTTACTCCTCATGTAGGACCTCCATCCTTAATGAGTTGTTCTATGAGAATCAACTGCAAAACTTGTTCTTATTCTTCTGTATATAAAATCAAACTAAAAATGAATGATAATGAAGAAGGAGATGGGAGAGAGAGAGGGAGGTTGGATGGAAGTTGGGTTTGGAGGGCGGGTATGGAGGAAAGAACCACTATATTCCTAAAGTTGTATATATGAAATAATGCATTCATTAAATAAAAACTTTAAAAAATCAATACTATGCCAAACCTTAACACACAATGAAGGATAGCTTGGTATTTAAACATATTCTAACAATTAGCTTGAGTGATAGAATGCTTTCATGAGGCACAGAGATGATGACATAACAAAAACTGGACTCAGAGTTACAAAAACATGAAGCTTTTCAGACGCAAAGCTATCTCAATTATACTAAACAGACAGCTACAAATCAGTAACTAAGGGGAAAAGTTTTCTAGTGGTCTTATTTTTAGCTGTTTGGAAAAATTACAGAAATGATATTTTAAGTTGTTTTCCTCATTGACCCACATAAATAAGACAGTGATGATAAAACTGTTGGAGGAGTATGCTCATTAGTCCTCAGTGCAACCTGTGTTCTTTCTCAGTGACTTGAGACTTAGGCATTTAGCTTGTTCAGCTATAAAAGAATCACAGACTCTCAATTCTAAATGAAAGAGGGGAGAGGAAACTCCTAAGCTTTCAAAAATGTGAGAAAGAAAATTAAGTATTGACTGAAGAGTGAAATTTTTAATTGGATGGTAAATGTTAATTCCTTGTGGAATAGAAAATGAGACAATATCTCAAAATGGTTTCAGATACATGACCATTTATTCTTAGTATTTCCCACTATGGGTTGTCATGTGTAGTAGGGTAAATCTTTCATTTTCCTTATGCAGGTTCTCCTGTTTTGCATGCTTTCTTTTGTAAATAGTCTGAGGAGAGTATACCTCTGGTTAAATATGTACAGAGCAACTATCTCCACGTTTCATAACTATACAAGCAAAATATTGTTTTTGCTTGCATTTGATGGACACTCATACATTGAAGTCTTTATTTTGCTTCATATATTTTCAACTCTTATTGTCTTTTCCTTCTTCATAGCTTGGATGTTTGCCTAGGTCTTCTTTTCTATCTACCCACATAAACTTTAGACTCTCCCAACAGAGCTACAAATTAATCTTTAGCCATATTTTTAAATTTTCTTCCTTTATAAGGCAACCTGATGTGAGCATTTGGGTGCTGGAATAATTATTTGAAGATCCTCAGTGTAGAAGAGAAAAATCAGTACAATGTCATTTGTCCTAATGTAAAAGCCAAGGCCTAACTTTGGGAAACAACAATATTCATAATGGAACAGAAATAAGATATTCTCTACCATTCTTTGTACCAGGATTATTGTATGTTAAAACTTCATGCAATCTTAAAAATTTGACTATGCCTAAGTATTAGTAAAATCTATAATTAGACCACTATTCACTTAGTTATTTGTGTAAAATACTTCATTCTCAAGTTCCAAATGTTGGAATTTGTCCAACTTTAGTTCCTTACAACATACTGCTGAAACAGAATTAAAATCTGCAAGCATTATAATCATCATGATAAATTTTAATTGGCCTTCATCATCAACTCTGATTTTGCACACAGATGGAATAATTCTAGTATAAACTTTGCATGTCATTAATAATGGTTTTCTTCTGCATTCTGGCCTCACCAAAATTTTGTTAAGGTCATCTTCTATCACAGCATATTTGAGAGCACATGCAACTAGATATTTGGATGGTGAATAGTTATCTTAAAGAAATACAGGTTTTTATTTATTGTAGGTGGATCTAAGTTGAAACTTGAGGAAAGCCCAGTAGCTCTTTGAGTCATCTTCAAATTCCAGTCGCAATATTTCTGAAGTACAAATATAATGTGAGCCTATCATTACTACATTTACAAACCCCCATATTTTAGCACCCCTAACAGAAATTTTAACTTACTCCCCATGGTTTACAAGTTTCAAATGCGCTGCCTAATTACTTCTCCAACCTTATCTCCCTCTGTCCTCTGCCACTCATCCTATACTCATAGTAAGATAACCTGCCATCCTCTAAATCACCACCCTTTCTTCATTTAGGTCTTGGCATGTATGCTCTTCTCATTGCCTTGACATCTCATTCACCACATCCTTTGTCCACCCTAAATACCTAGATTCTGTTCTTTGAATTGATTTGCATTGTTGACTCAGCTTTTTTACCCTCTGTGTTGAACTCTCTGACAAACCTGTCCTCCCCACAACAATCAATTCATTAGTATCTCTTTCATGGAACTAGGATGGTTAGAGAGGAAAGAAAGGGATGTTGTCTCGATACAAAATAAAAATCCATTATTATTATATCTGGGTAAGATACAATTCCAATTATATATGTCTATCATGACTTATTCTACTAGAGAAGTTGTCATCACATTATCTTTATGGTGGATATAGGGTTACCTTGTCTACGTATCCTTCCTAAGATGTCTTGCTGTCCAAGGTCACAGAATGTGGTCAGCACACAATCTCCATTTCGAATTTCTTGCGAATTTGTCTTTGCTATAGAAAGTCACCCAGTGTGAGTCCTCACATAACTTGGGCATCCTGTCTAGTGATTGTGTGTGGTACAGCTATAAAGACCAAGCTCTGGCCAGCGCTGCGGCTCACTAGGTTAATCCTCCGCCTTGCGGCGCCGGCACACCGGGTTCTAGTCCCGGTCGGGGCGCTGGATCCTGTCCCGGTTGCCCCTCTTCCAGGCCAGCTCTCTGCTGTGGCCAGGGAGTGCAGTGGAGGATGGCCCAAGTCCTTGGGCCCTGCACCCCGTGGGAGACCAGGATAAGTACCTGGCTCCTGCCATCAGATCAGCGCGGTGCGCAGGCCGCAGCGCGCTGGCCGCGGTGGCCATTGGAGGGTGAACCAACAGCAAAGGAAGACCTTTCTCTCTCTCTCTCACTGTCCACTCTGCCTGTCAAAAAAAAAAAAAAAATACCAAGCTCTTACTTAAAAACTGTACGCTAAGGAAAGGGGAATAATCAGGTTTGAAGATCGACACATATGGGTACAGTGTGAGAAGATGTCTTTGCATGGCTTATTAGTGTCCACCAGGAGGCATTCACCCCAGAAGAGTCTCTACATAGCCAAGGGGACAAAATGGACAATCGAGTGATTCCAGCTTATGTCTGTCATTGGCTCTCTTAATGCCAATGCAATAAACATATACATGATGTGGCCGTGGTGATGGTTATGGAGACTATACAGGAACCAATTAATATACACTCCACTAAGTTCAATCTACCAAGAGCCAGCCTCAGGTAAAATGCTGAGTTCCTGACAGAGACATTTACTCCCAGAGAAGACATGGCCACTTTCATGTGAAGTTGACTATATGCTTCCCCTTGTATCAAAGAAGGGCCAGTGAATCAATAGAGTAACAAACTCACATTCTGGGCATAAATCCACTTGTCCTCAGCATCTTAGCCAGTACTATTATTTGTAGATTGACTGAATGTTTAAATGACTGATACTAGATCCCACATAACATCATGTCAGACAAAGTGATCCAGTTTATAAAAGGAGTTCTAGGAAAGAAGCCCTCATTCACTGCCATTGTCATTCTGCCAGCATGATAGAGTATTACAAAGGTCTGCTGAAGACCCAAAAGGAGAAGCAGCCTGTCAGCAGTATGTGCATGCTTCAACCACTGAGTGTCGTTTGTCAGTATTCAGAGCATGCAGTGAATGTTCCCTTGGCTCTGCTATTGTAAAAAAGGAAGAATATATGACTCCAGTATCCCAAAATAAAAATCAGAGTCACTCCCTTACTTTCACTCCAGCAGTTCACTAGGTGATGCAATGACGGGTTGGATACCTGAGATTTATAAAGGGAATATTTTCCCAGGCAACAGCACTACAAAAGTCCCAGAAATTATATACCAAAACTACGATCTATGCACTTTCAGTTCCTGTGTTCATGAATCAACAGTCAAGATTTGGAGGCATTGTACTTATAGAGGTAATTGACTTTGATCACCAGGATGAGGTAATGCTACAAATCCACAATAGGATAATGAAGGATATTTGTGGAAAACTCGCCTTATTCAGTTGAGTACCTTTTTATACATCCCTTGCTTAATTTTTACTTTATATGGACAATGACAGCTAACGCTAACAGAGAATGTCTTGCTGATTGGGGCCTCAATATCTTATGGAATGTTCCATAAGATAAGCCACCAAAACAAACAAATATAATAGATGAGGGTACAGAGATGCGTGAATGGGTAAAAGAAGGAGACTTGTTAACAATTATGCCCTGAGACCAATGGTAGTAGCAATCCTTCCCTCTAACCTTCTTTTTATTTTATTTTATTTTTTGACAGGCGGGGTTAGGCAGTGAGAGAGAGACAGAGAGACAGAGAGAAAGGTCTTCCTTTTTCCGTTGGTTCACCCCTCAAGTGGCTGCTATGGCCCGCACGTTGCAGCCAGCGTGCTGCACTGATCTGAAGCCAGAAACCAGGTGCTTCCTCCTGGTCTCCCATGCGGGTGCAGGGCCCAAGGACCTGGGCAATCCTCCACTGCACTCCCAGGCCACAGCAGAGAGCTAGTCTGGAAGAGGAGCAACAGGGACAGAATCTGGCACCCGGACCAGGACTAGAACCCGGGGTGCTGGCACCGCAACTCAATAGGCTAATCCTCCACCTGCAGCCCCCTCTAACCTTCTCATCTGAGCAGCTCCCTCTGACGCTCTGTGGAGGAAAGGATCTATACGTAGCACAATGGGTTGCATATGGTAGATATTCAGATGTGTCACCCACATCCTCCTCTACATGAAGTTTGCTGTCCAGCAACCTGGCATACCATCAGGGAAGTGGTCTATCTGTCATCCTCCGGGGGCTGACTCAGCTACGGATGGCACCCATATTCAAGGTTATATCCTCTCTTGGGCACCCTGCATCTGGTGATAGGCAGGCTGAAATGTAAATTTCTGGCCATTTCACTTTGATGCACAGCACTTATTCCAAAGATCCCTACTGACTTAACCATATCTTGGATGGGCTGGTATTTACAGTTCAAATGTCCCTAACATTCAATCCTATTATCTCTTTATTTGCTTCATAGATGTGAACCTCTAATGAATGTCTATATATACCTGAAATTCTGTATTACTGTCTACATATTCAGAATCCAACCTGTGACAATATTGCTATCATTTTTGCCCTTTCTACATTACCTACTTTGAGGCAGGTGAAGATGTATTGTCTTTACCAGTTGTACTGTCTATAGAAACCAGAATAATGTGTGGATAAATAATAAAAATTTTGTAAATATTTGTGAAAGCTAAGACACATATATATGTGATAATGCAATCCTAAACTATAATTCTAAGAAAAGTATAATATAGTGCTACACATAGATGTAAAACTATACATAGATGTAAAATTATTTTAAAATGTCTAAACAACCATACGACATAAATTATTTTGTTTGTAGATGTATGTTACTCCATAATTTTCTTGAATGTATATTGTAATTACATAGCAATAGATTTCTGTAAAATTTTATAATACCTCAGTGATAACCCTGCTGTGTTGAGATCCTTTATATTTTTAACTAATTAGGGGAAAGGACTATTTAAAATAAAGCCACAAAAAAGAACTACCATGTTTATAGCAACTCAACTTACAATAGCTAAGATATGGAATCAACCCAGATGTCTGTCAACTGATGACTAGATATAGGAATTGTGTTATGTATACACGATGGAATACCATTCAGCTATCAAAAAGGATAAAATCCTGTCTTTTGTAAATAAAGTACAAAAATATAATGTATATGAGTAAAATTGACACTTTGAGCTTTAATTATTGTTTATAGCCATTGTCTATATTCTGAAGAAACAGTGGCTTTTCTACTTACTATTTGTTGAATTCTTCATTTGGTGGAGGGTTAAGCTTGTGACTATGAAGATAAATGAAAGTATGTCACTGTAAAAATTAAAAGAAAAATAATAAAAGAAGGAGGGAGAGTTGGAATGAGGGAGTGGGAAGAGAGGGTATGGTAGAAAGTATCATTTGCTTTTAAAACTGTATTTATGGGGATGGGGACTGGCACTGTGGTGCAGCAGGTTAAAGCCACCATCTGAAGTGCCAGTATCCCGTATGGGCGCTGGTTCATATCCCAGCTGCTCCACTTCCGATCCAGCTCTCTGCTATGGCCTGGGAAAGCAGTAGAAGATGGCCCAAGTCCTTAGGCCCCTGCACCCACATGGGAGACCTGGGATCATCTCAGCTCTAGCCGTTGTGGTCGTTTGGGGAGTGAACCAGCGTAATGGAATACTTCTCTCTCTCTCTCTCTCTGACCCTACCTTTCTCTGTAACTCTGTATTTCAAGTAAATAAAATAATTCTTTAAAAAAATGTATATATGGGGGCTGGTGCTGTGGCATAGTGGGTAAAGCTGCCGCCTGCAGTGCCGGCATCCCATATGGGTGCCGGTTCAAGTTCTGGCTGCTCCACATCCGATCCAGTTCTCTGCTATGGCCTGGGGAAATAACAGAAGATGTCCCAAGACCTTGGGCTCCTGCACACATGTGGGAGAGCTGGAAGAAGCTCCTGGCTGCTGGCTCTTGATCAGCTCAGCTCCAGCCGTTGCGGCCATCTGGGGATTGAGCCAGCAGATGAAAGATTTTCTCTCTCTCTGCCTCTGCCTTTCTTTAACTCTGCCTTTCAAATAAATAAATAAATAAATCTTAAAAAACTGTATATATGAAATATAAAAAAGAGTTATTGCCAAAATTGAAGGAAAGGAGGAAGGTGGTTTAAGGGAGGGAGGATGGGAAGGTAATATCTTCTTAGAATTATATATATGAAATACATGAACTCTGTTATCTTTATACTAAAATAATTAAAATAGATAAAATGATAAGATCACTTTAAATTTCTGCATTTGATTTTTTACTAATATTTCTTATTCTAAAATGTAGGATATCACAACAAGGAAACTAGCATCTTTTATTACTGTCAGCAAACCCAAATGCTTTGAATTTGAATTTTTAAATGTAATTCTGCATGATATAGCTTACTATAGCAAAATTTCTTCATAGTAGAGAAAGACAGGTACTGTCACTCTTTGATAATTTATGACAAATTTATGGTAAAACTAGAGATTTATACATTTCTTCAATAAGATCTCTTGGGAAAAGTGATTTTAAAAATGTACAAGGAATATCAGTGCTGAAATATCCTGCTGTGTTTAGAAAACAGAAGACAAGTTGATTTGATAAGTGAATAAAATTTTTCAAATACTAGTTTTTTTATAATTCTATAACAAAAATTATTTTTAATGAAAAAATAAACAGTGTGTTGCAATTTATATTTAATCATTTAATAAAATGAATTGGTAAAACATATGTTTTAAACTAAAATATCAAAATGCTAATATAAAAAAGTTACCTCTAAAATAGCTTAACCAAAGGACAAATACACTATAATTACAAGAAATGACAATTATCTCAGTTTATTGTGGTTTCTATAGAATAAAATTTATTTTTTCTTTTTATTTAAAAGGCAAGAAATAGAGAGAAAGGGGGAGAGAGAGAGAGAGAGAGAGAGAGAGAGAGAGAGAGAGAGATTCTATTCACTGATTCTCAAGTTTACAATAGCCAGGGCTGGGTCAGGGCAAAACCATGAGCCCAGAACTTGATCTGGGTAGCAGGGATACAAATACTAGAGCAATCACTTTTGCCTTCCTTGGTATACTTTAGCAGGAAGCTGAATCAGAAATGGAAGAGCCAGGACTGAAATGGTACTTCAAGATTAGAAGCGTGTATCCCACACTGCAACTTAAGCTCTGCCACAAGCTCACCACAGACGTATCTTTTGGAGCACAGACTACGTATTCCCAGGATGGAGGTATTTTAGAAGAAAAAAGTACAATCTTTACCCTTAGGAACTCTGTATCTTAGTATGATGTCTATACAGTATCCTGGGAAGGCACAGTTTTTGTGTGAAAGAAGGAACACAAGGGATCGAATCTTTGCATAGCCAATTCCTAGAAATAACACTAGGGACAAATAGCTAATTTTTTCTGGGATCAGGGTCTTCTCCTGAATAAATGGGGAATAAAACTGCATACGTTTGAATATCTTTGTTGTGTTTTTTTTTTTTTTTTTCTCAGCTTCTTAAATAGGTTTCTCTGTGTCAAATTACAACACACAGAAGTAGGTTTGTTTCTTACACATCCTTGGTCCTTTACTTTGTCTATCCTCACATATGTGTGGGCAAATTCCACCCGCTCATGGTAGTATTAAAGACTATGAATATCAATGTTAAGTCCTCAGGCTGCATGTTTCTCTGAGTTTCTAACTTTTCTGCTGGACATATTCACTGGGTGTTTCCACAGCCACCTTGACAAAACCCATCATTCAGTTCCTAACCTTTTGTCTCCATTGTACCAATATCATGGCCATCACTTTCCCAGGATGATCTCCTCAAATCAGATTTTATCCCCAGCAATCTCTGTACTCTAGCTCTTCCTTCACCGTCCTCAACCACGCACTTTCATGGAATATCCAAATGCCCTCCTACAGCTTTTCACCTATGTAAACTGGAAATCAAATCGTCAGTTGTCTGAGTCATAATTTTCAATATTGCCTACATCCAGAAATACATTTATATCCCCATTAGTTTGGCAGATAATGATTTATATAAGTTGGCGCCTGCTGACATCAGTAGCTCAAGACACATCTCCTCTCTCTTTTTGCAGTCTGATAATATATCCTTATAGTATTGCTTTGATTTTTATCAAAACCATACTGATTCATGCCTGAGCCTGTTCCTTCTAGTTGAGATACCCAGGGATTCAATTAAAATTTCTAGTGTTTCAGGAGACCTCTCTGAGGCTCTAGGTTGAGCTTAGTTCTTCTCCTTTTAGCATCTATCACATTTAAAATATTTACTTATATACCTGCTGTCACTCCAATCCTACACATGTGTGTTTACAGTACTGAACAGGTAGTTATCATCCTCTTATGTATCCATTGAGTATACAGCAAAGCACCTCTCAGTAATTGGTAGCACTGGGCACTCTAACAAGTTGTTGGCATTAGGGGTTTTATTCAATGCTATTTCCATTGCTTCCTTTCAAAAATAACTCCAATAAATATATAAATTGAATGAAAATATTTGTTTACTAGGCAAAAGTAGCCTGTTGATAAATCACTTATCCCCAACCTTCAAACACAATATAACCTATATACTTTGGAGATAGAATTTGCTAACCACTAAATATGAATTATAATTATTTATACTAAAGCAAAAATGCTTCAAATAAGATAAAGTTGCATTTTTAAGAGGCCAGCTGCTTTTATCATAATTATTATTGCACTGAGACTTGCCATTGCTTGAAATTGAGAATTGTTTCTAATCACATTTTTAAAGGCAAAGAACAGGCACTATACAAAACAGTAAGACGTTTTCCCACTCATAACACTTACCCATTCAGATGACATTTATGAAGATGTTCCCTTGTTCATAATTTAAATACTGGTCTACTGTCATAAAAATCCCCCAGCATATAGATAAGAAAATAACAGCACAGTGGAAGAAAAGTGGAGAGTTTAATAGCCTTGAAATTCTGAACTTAAATTACTTTCTTCTATGCTTGCAGTTTATTTTTGGATAATCACATTTCACTTTAGGAAATATTAATAAACATCTGTTGAGATAATAGTATGTAAAATGCATAGATTCATAATGTTTGAGTCAAAACATATTTTGTTTCAATGTGATGGTGTAAACATGAGAATAAAATAGCATCTATTCTCTTTTTTAGTTACTTTCTAATGTCTCATCAAAGGGAATTTTTCAAAGCCTTAATACTTTCTAATGGGTCATTTCATTCTATTAAGTAAAATCATCCATACACTTATAGGACACTTTCCGAACCCGCTGTGATTTCCTTAAATATCCCTAAATGAATTCACAACTTGCTCTAAGCCCATCTCAGCTATTCTGAGGTAGGCACTTATTACAGGACCAGGCTCTACTTAGGATGTGATTCATGTACCTGAGGATCCCAATTATAAGAAGATGTCAGCTAGCATCTCCAAACCAATTACTCGGAAAAAGGGAATAGCATAATTTTAACAGCAGGAGAGAAGAAAAAGAGGAAGTAATTATTATGGTCCTAGAGTGCTTGTCTTGGTTGTAAAGAACAATCTGTTAGCTGCTGTGTGATAGTGTGTCATGTTTACTTCATTCCTAATGGGAAGATGTTAATATATCTGAATTCTTGCCGAGGAACACAATCTTAGTGATACTGAAACAAATGACGATTGGTCAACATTAATGACTCCATTGAAGGCACAATTACTTGATTTCAAAGAACTAATTAGAGTTGATGATAAAAATCATTAAAATGTTTATGTATGTAGATAATTGTAATCATTTTATACAGAAAACATTAAAATAATTAAACATTTGGATACAGCATTCGTC